TGGTATCCGCTCATATACTTCGTTAGCTTGTCATTCTCACCGACAGCTTTCATTGGTCTCAATTATGACCTTAAAGTTCCGAAATTTGAGTTCCTATCTCATGCAAAACCATCATTGTTCGAATATCCCAAGCCCACAACTGTAGCCACCACCACTTCAGCTGTCAAGCTTCCTACAGCCGTTTTATCCACATCAGCCAGAGCAAAGGCCAGGGCGAGTAAGAGAGAGGCAGAGCAGAAGGCAATTGCTGACAAGACTTTTGGAGCAGAGTTACCATCTGGAAGTGGAACTTCTGGGAAGGCTAAATCTGGTGATAAGGATGGAGAATCCATGCAGGTATGCTTATTAATGTTTTTGTTTCATTCTCTTCCCTGCATTAGAAGTTTACACTCTTCTTTCTTCTGCTGAAATCCACTTTAGATTGCATCAGCATAATGGATGTTCAGTGTTTTCCCATCTATTACTACCTCTATGCTATTACACTCGTACCTTCTCCACATACCAACCCACCTGTTGTTACTTCGACTAAAACTTGCCTCCTTGTGTAATGAAGATTGAGAAACACACCATTTTCATTTAACATTTAGTCGCAATAGATGCATGATCTCTTTATTATAGAATAAAAAAATGTTGTCATTTATAATGCTCTATGTTGGATGTTTTTTTGGGTGTTAGAAGCTCTACTGACAGACGATTATGTGATTGGCAGGTTGATGGTGCTGCAGAAAAGAAATCAGAACCAGAGCCTAATTTTGAGGTTTTGACCAACCCTGCAAGAGTTGTTCCTGCCCAAGAGAAGTTCATCAAATTCAAGGAAGACAGTAGATACGTGCCGGTGAAATTAGCACCTTCAGGGTTTGTGCTTCTGAAAGATCTGCGCCCAACTGAACCAGAGGTGTTGTCTTTAACCGATTCACCCTCATCAACAATGTCGAATGCTGGTGCATCAGCAACGGCACAACAGGGTACTGGATCTGCAATGGCGGTTGATGAGGAACCTCAGCCACCTCAGCCTTTTGAATACACAGCTTGATTTATTCTCTTCAAGATTCCTGCTCGGCTCCAAGGGTTCAATTGCCACACATTGTCGATTTCTCTCTTCAAAGTTTCAGTTTAGCAGCTTGTGTAATGAATTAGCATCGATGAATTGCCTTCATCTTTTAATGCTGACACAGGATGTGAACTTGTATTTGTTGAATTAAGTTAATGAAAGTTGCAGAAAGTATCACACCTTCAGAATTTTCCGGTTTGTGTGTGCGCGCGCACACTCCTTTTTTTTTTTCTGTTCTTTTTCATTTGTAACAAGGTTTTGATGGTCTCGTACCATTTTTGTTCTGGTTAATACGAAAAATATTTGGAGCCAGTTTTGATTGGTGTTGCAACTTAGCCATTTTTACTGTTTATATGTGTTGTGCTTTTCGTTGAAACTCAAAACGGATTCAAGAAAATCTGTTTGGATTGCATATTTCGGAAAAAAAAAAACATATAGATGAAATACGGTGTGTGGTAACCACACTAAAATATTTTAGAACACCTGAAAATACCTAAAATCACAGGAAAAAAAACACCCAAAAGACACAAAACATACCAACGCAAAGATCCCCTTACCCGCTAGCACCGACCAAACCCCTCCCGCCGTGCCGTTTTGCAATCCTCTACGGGCATTTTAGTTGCAATCCTCTCCAATTTTGTATTTGGTATTAGCTTACGTTGGCAGCTTCATTGTTCATCTCCATTACTTTGGATTTGAAGGTGTTCCATTTTGCACCATTCTGGTACCTTTTTCCTTCCTCTCCAAGTGACCTTGACTCGAAGAATGGGAAAAGATAAGATCAAGTATTGAACCTCTTTAGGATGGGTCTTCCACAGTTCTTAAAGCCAGTGTACTCCCTCACTAAGCATGGCCGACTTTGGAGTTGATCCTTGCCCATATTTTATACACTGACAGTGTATACATTTTCACAATTGCAAAATCTTGAACAATTGATCAAAACTCAAAGAATAAAGTATCATAAAATAGTTGTTTCATGGTATAAATGAAAAAATTATTCTACATACAAGGAAAATTAATTTTTATAAGAGATTACGTTCAAATACTTATTGAACATACAAGTAACCTAAAATATGGTGATGCAATAGATTTATGAGGATAAATTTGACATCGTGCTATTTAGGTATTTTAGGATAAAGGTAGGAAAGAGTTTTTCCTAAATTTTTTCAGGAATGAGATTCTAATGAAAAGTTGGAATGAGCATTCCAGGAGGAATGAGTTTTCTCACTTAAATCGGACCAAACACCGAAATGAAACAGATAAGTTGGAAAGGCCTTTCCTTTCTAGGTCATTCCTACGTACCAAACAAGGGGATATTGTAACGCCACTTTGGCATAATTTCTTACAAGCTATTGGATTGATTCTGTAAAAAGTCATTTCAGGAGCCTTTTCAACAGGATAACAGATGAGATGTACTTAAACTTGTTTACAGGTTCGTGATTCGTGGCTGTACTCCTAAGAAGATTTTGATTTATGGAGCATCCTTTGCACCTGAACTTGAGGTAAGCGTGTAATTTGAATTAGTAATCTATCTATCATGAGCTGTGGAAATGTTTTAAGAATACTTGATCCATCCTCCTGTCTTAAGCAAATTTGGAGTATCAAACTTTCGACATCGAATCCTGAACGTACTTGAGAATTGTTTACCTGAAAATTCTGTTTGCTGAAAGCTCTTTACTTGCAAGACACAACCAACAGTTTGTCATCGACCAAAGAGCTCAGTAGGCTAATTTGGGAATTAGGATGAAGTTATTGTCTTGGTATATGATTTCAAGAAACCTTCTAGTGTGTTATTTTGATCTGATGGCAAATTGAATGTCTAGCGAGTTAATTTGAAGTGACCAATGCTCAAAATATTGAGTCATCTTAATAAGCACAATTTGAAGGATAAACAAAAAATTCTTACCTACGGTTCCGTGTTATGATATCTAAAAATTTGCATAGACTCTTGCTAGTACAATGGTAATAAGCACAATGAGATGCGAACATAAACAGCAGATAATAAGCATAATTTTATCTAATTTTTAGGCATAATTTTTTTCTAGTTAATCAACTAATTTCAGCATTCTTGATGGTTTCCACTAATTTTATAGCACATCTCTTGCTACCTCTCTTCCTTCCTTCCTCAGTTGTTTCTTTCTCTGTGGTTGAAGGGGGCTGCCAAAGCAGACACAGGCAGTGGGATACAGGAGAGGAGGAAAACTGAATAACGTGGATGACCTCAACTCAAAGTTGTACAGCACAAACCATTTCTTGTCCGCTTGGAGAAGAACTTGCCGAAAATCAGTTAAAAGTTTCATCTCTACGAGGGGCAATATAAAGAATGAAGGACATTTGAAAAAATTTGGGGTGGCTATATAAAAGTTGAAGAGAGTTTTATAAAATTCAATGGGTGTACATGCAAGATAAATTAATAAAGTTAAGGATATTTAGTAGTCACATTCTTAATTTTTCAAAGTTGAGGGCAGGCAATTTCCACCCTCAGCCAATGGTGGTTCTGCTCCTGAATTCTGATTCCTAGATCAGTTTTGACAAGTGTAAAAGTGCTATTATTTTATGACTTAGATATTTGGGATAATTTCAACAACCTCCCTTAAGGTTTCTAACAATTTCACTCGATTCCCCTCAGGTTTAAGAAATTACACTTTCCTCCCTTAATATAGTAAAATACCTATAATACCCTCCACTTCATAGACAATTTTAAATTTAAGACAACATATTTACAAAACCCAAAAGAAATAATTTATTTTTCTGTCTCTTGTCTATGTTCGCTCCTTTCTTTTCTAGTTAATATAACTTATTTTTATTATCTTCAATTTTGTGGATATTAGCAAATTGAAAATACAAAATCACAGAGGAAGCAGATTATGTGCCTAACTAGAAGGAAATGAAGAAACTCGCAATGATAGAGGAATAAATAATGAAATTGATGATTGAAATAGGAAGAAAACTAAATATGTGCAATTTGTCATATTTGTTTGTTGTAAAAAAAAAAACTTTTATAAAATGTCAATAATTACAAAAGGATCTTTTTCATTGAATTAGAAATTTTTTACAATGAATTTATTGTGGTGATAGAATTTATTCTCTACTTTTGAGATATTAATATTTTTAAAGCTATATGAGGGTTGTAAGGGTGGTTCTAGATTATATTAGTTTGCATTGAAAAGGTATTTGAGCATTAATATTTAATATTAGGGTATAAAATTGGTTGTCAATGGGGATTGTGTTTTTTTTTTTTTTCATTTTTGTGTGGAAAGTATTGATATTGTATATACAATTTGAGATCTTTTGCACAGTTACTTGATTTTAGAACTTATGCTTGGATGGTCGTTAGGAATTAGACTTGTTGATTTGTGCAACGTGTAGAGGAATATGATTGAGTATACTATATTTTTTTTTATTAATTTTGCACAAAAGGGCAATTTAAGATTTTTGAGAGAAATTTAGTTTGTTGGATCTACATTGTTACTAAACAGTAAAAATAGGGGAGGTATATGTAATTTTTAAAACTTAAGGGGAATATTCTGTAATTGTTAAAAACCTCAGGAGAGATTTATTAAATTATCCCTAGATATTTATTACAACCATGCTGGTGTGGTTTATCCCTACATCCGGTGTTGCTACTTGCTACATAGTAAATACAAATCAAGCTCCAAATTGTGCATATTATCTCCAATTTCAAGATTCAAAGTTCAAAAGTCCTAATCTTCAGCGCTTGGATTTATTAATTAAAGTCATGAGAAGAGGTGGTAAAGTTATTTTCCCTTGTGATTCATATTAATGGGAGGTGAAAAAAGTATCATCATCATGAATTTGTGGGGTGGAAATTACTCCACAGGCTCCTCTCTCTTTCTCTCTCTACACATGAAGACATATGAAGTCAAAGGCAGCTCCAGCAAGCATCCCATATCCTTTATATATAGACAGTAATCTCCATCTTCATCAATTGTTTCTAGACCATATAAGAATGCTCATTTTTGTACAGTTGTACCCTATGTTTCTGATCTCTCATACACTAAAACCCCACTTATTTTAACTTTTATCTATCTGAATTACTATTTTCTTCAATCTCCCAAGGTTAGTCTATACAACTTCTGGTTTCTTGTGTATATTAGTAATTGTTACACAAAGACAAACACCAACAAACATTGGTTTTGTCCATATTGTGATTTGAGCTAGCATAAAATTTTGCATTAAATTACTTCATCTTGCTTTGATAGTGGTTAACACTTAAAACTCATGTATTTCATTTTTATTTTTTGTTTTTTTGGCAGGAGGTGGACCAGAGTGAAATTTCAAGAGGTTTTTTTTTTTTACTATTACATGATTTGAGCTCACTAAGGGTTTCACGGTAAACCTAGTGCATATATAAAATGGAGAAAGAAGAAAACTACTCAGTACGCAAAATCCAAGAAAACCTTTATCTTCATTGTTTGTTATATTGTATTTTCTTGTTGACTCATCATTACATGACTATGCTGTTTTTCTTTCAACCTGAAATGTTGCAGGGTTCCATTCCTGGAAATTTCACAGGACTTGACTACACACTAGAACATCATCAGCAGAATCAGCATCCACAGCTGATGAAGCCACAGATTGGAGAAGCATCGGGTGACGATGGCAGTAATCAAATGGTGGATTACATGCTCCATAACACTGCTCAGCAACAGCCTATGTCTTCTGGCTTTTGTGGTTCAACTTCTTTAGATAAGTTGAGCTTTGCTGATGTGATGCAATTTGCCGATTTTGGTCCAAAGTTAGCCTTGAATCAAGCAAAAACTCCAGAGGAGGAAACTGTCTTGAATGATTCAGTTTACTTCCTTAAATTTCCGGTCTTGAATGAGAAGTTGCAGGATGACCCTGATCATCAAGCCCTTATGATTCCTCGACCTATCAATGAAGAAAGCAACTCTAAAGTAGGGGAAGAAGGTGATCAAAGACCTGATCAAGATCAAGCCCGGGGTTTCGGAAACACATCAGTTCAACTGCAATTTCTTGGTGATAACCGAGAAAAGAGTCCTTTAACAACAGAAACTAAGAACAAGAAAAAAAGATCTAGAACTATCAAGTCGAGTGAAGAAGTTGAGAGCCAGCGGATGACTCACATAGCAGTAGAAAGAAACCGTAGGAAGCAAATGAATGAACATCTTCGAGTTCTTAGGTCTCTCATGCCTGGCTCATACGTGCAAAGGGTATGAAACTCTTCATGCATACTCATAAAACTATGTGAATATTTGTATCTATAACAATTTTTAGATTGATATTTCTTGGCAGTATAAATCTTACATACGCAGGCAGTTTTATTATTGTCACGTATATATGTGGCACAATCTAATAATTGTATATTTGCAAAAGATCTAGTCCAACTTCATATATATAAAGAGTAATTATTATTTAAGCCTATGGTATATACAAGTCGAGTTGTTAGTTTGAAACAAATTAGAAATTTGACAAGGGATTTTTTCAAATTAATAGGGAGATCAAGCATCAATAATTGGCGGGGCGATTGAGTTCGTAAGAGAATTGGAGCAACTTCTTCAATGTCTAGAATCACAAAAAAGGAGGAGGCTATATGGAGATGGTCCAAGACCAATAGGAGATTCATCATCATCAGTTCCAATTCAGCAACCTCAACCCCCATTTTTTCCTGGCATGCCTCTTTCTAGTGATCAAATGAAGCTTGTTGAATTGGAAACTGGACTACATGAAGAAACAGCTGAGAGCAAGTCATGCTTGGCTGATGTTGAGGTGAAGCTCTTAGGGTTTGATGCATTGATCAAGATATTGTCTAGAAGAAGACCTGGACAGCTTATTAAGACCATTGCTGCCCTTGAGGATTTGCAGCTCAATATTCTTCATACCAACATAACCACAATTGAACAGACTGTTCTATATTCTTTCAATGTCAAGGTACATATGTGAAAACCCTCTAGAGTTTCCATTCTCTTATATATAATTTCCATGAATTTGACATGCAACACAAGTCTTATTCATTGTTAAATATAAATTATAAATTTGATTCAAGAACTTCATTTTGAATCGGTGTTGTAACATATGTGATTTACTTTTGATATTCTATATGTAGGTAGCAAGCGAAGCAAGGTTCACAGCTGAAGATATAGCAAATTCCATTCAACAAATTTTCAGTTTTATCCACGCAAACAGCAGCATATGATGATGGCCTTTAATTTATATGTGACTAGAGTTGAATGATTTTTCTCTGTAGCTTGTACGGTGTATTGAACATGTTTTCAGTTTTCCTTTGTGGGCTCTGCTAAAAACTGGCTAGGAGTGTGTAGTACCTCTATTGGTACAAATTACAAAATACAGTACCTTGAATTGATTTGATGGGTGAAGATGAATTCATATTATTATTTTTTTCTCTTATTAAACTTAACTTTTCAGACAGTAAAAAGAACCATGAATTCTTTGCACAACTAATTTTCCATCACTTACTCGAAAATGCCAACTTCTTATTGGAAATATATTTAATTCATAAGTACGTAAAACATGCTATGAGTTCTTGAGTTTTCATATATGCTGCTTCAAAGTTGAACCTAAGCAATTTATACTTCAAATGGGAATAACTTTGTGTTAAAATGAAATTTTTGGTCTTATCATACACAGTTGAAACTCTCTCTCAAAATTTTTCAGCGCACCACTCTGTACTTTCTGTCAAGAAGCCAAAATCTTTGCCAAGTTTTACTGTTTGAGCCACTTTATCACTTACAAATGTAGCCTATTTTTTGAGTTATTAGATCCTTCCCTTTTTTCTTTCTGCTAAAAGTTACTTCCTTTTTGTCAACTTTTTTGTACTTTGGTTTGGATTTTATTTTGTATACTTGTATGTAACATTATAACTTTTTTTTCTGTTCTCAAATTTTGCTCTTTATTGTATTTGGTCATCTGTATCTGATGAGGATGATGAACGTGTTCCCTGTACTATCAAATCTTGGCGGTATTTGTGTGAGAAAGTGACATTGACTCGCAGCTGTTATCTGCTGTGATGTGATTAGGAATAGGAATTTGCGTGGAAGGAGGAATCTATCTACTTATGGTGACAAAATCTGCAAGGATGTCCCAATGATAGAACATGAATTAAAAGATTGTAGTTCATACAAAAAAGTCAACTTACCCCACAAGCCCTCAGTGCCATTTCCGTAGGGTTGACTTGTCAGAACACAGAATTAGATCCTTGGATGTATTAGGGTGCCATCTCATTTGATTTTGATTTTGATTTGATATGTACCTTTCAAGGTCTCTTGTCCTTAGAAGGATGCTCGTAAATTTTGCTCAACAAATCACTTGCCAATAACTGATTAAAAAGAATATACTCACGGTGAAATATATTGATGGTTTTGCCTTCAGTGTAGCAGTCAAACAAGAATTAAAGAATAATTGATTTACACAGCAATAAAAAGTTGAACCCATAGAGGGAGGCATCAGATACATCCATGAAAATTTCCTTAATACAAGGCTTTGTTCCTCAACCCAGATTGGGATGTATTTTGATTGATGCATAGGTGCAAGTACAAATATTAATTTGAAGATGCGAGGCCTTGCTTTCTTTCAAAGAGATTTTCTTCTTCTTTGACAAGTTCACCGAGAATTTCTTATCAAGGCTGATTTTGGATAATTAATGGAGTAAACTACATTGATCACCAAGAAAGGTATATGCCTAACCTACTATGATGGAAGGTGTCAAATGAGCTTAATTTACTGTTCTATTTAGCATGTTTTCTTTGCTCTCGTGTGTGATTCTATCATGCTATGGATGCTTTTATGAACTTCTTGCACTTGAGGTCGGGACGTCAAGAACGCCAATTACACTTGAATGGTGTAACACTGTCTATACAAATTGTAACTCTTTCTTAACTGTTTATACAATTTTACAATTATTCATATGAACTTCTTGAATTTGAGGTGGGGATGTAAAAAACGTTAATCACTCTTGAATAGTGTAACACTGTTTATACAAATTGTAACTCTTTCTTAACCGTTTATACATTTTACTATTATTCACATGAATTTCATTTCATAGGCAACAAGGTTACAAGTAATTTATGCAGAATTACATGTTTAGAGAGATTTACATCACCAAATGACGATTGGTTGACCTAATGTGGACCCAAGTCCGAAGTTCTGACAACCGTTCTGCCCAAGTCCGAAGTTCTTTGTATGGCCATTCTTTCTAGCAGCTACCAAAGGTGGACCTAATGTGACAGAACGTTTGTACTTTTTTTGAAAAACAAACACAAAGCATTAATGGTGACGGAAGTACGAAGACCATTTTGTCAAAGCATTTGATGTCTTTTGCAGTTTTGCTCTTCCATGCAAAACAAACATATTTTTTAACAAATTTAAGCTAAAGCCATTAGTAAAATCATTTAGTGGGGCTCTCAATTGTTTAATAACATCATTGATGATTTGTTTGGATTGCTGTTTTTCGTCAAAAAATTACGTCATTTTTTGTGATCACATTTTTCTATTACCTTTTTTTCTCGCATACATCAAATCGCTATAGTAATTTTTCCATGAAAAATCATAGAAAATGCAATACAAACACAATTATTGGCTTTTCTCCATCTCTTGCCATTACTGCATAGTTTTTTGGGTGATGCTAATCGTATTGATCCCACAAGCATCTTGTGGTGATTATGCTATCGTTACACATTACAAATCATTTCATAAATTTAAAAGCATAAAAAATACCCGACCAATATAATAAACACATGAAGGCAAATTACTATTGAAAAAAAAAAGAAAAACTAAACTACATTGAAAACAATAGATTTCACAAAAAAAAAAAAAATAGCTTAGTGTTCTTAAATTTATTATGCATGAATTGGAATATTTTTTGGATATTTACAATTACAAATTAGTGACTGTTGGCACGATTATGCAATATAATCTTGAGAATATCCTCGTACACTTTCTTAACATGAGTAAATTCATAAGGTAACAATGAAATATAACCCGTGGTTAAATAGAGATTTTTTTATTGCTTATTTCATTTATTTATCCCCTCCTCCCTTCTAAAAGAAACTAAGAAAATTAAAACGAAAAAGAGAAATTCATATATTTATCACTTAAAAAGAAAGTAAAAGAAAAAGAGTAAGGGACGCTCATTGGCCTTTCGGACTTAGCTTCAAAATCCACCGCACAATCTGTGTTTGGACCGCTAGTCAAGCTCCATTTGTTCAGAGCACCCAAAAGCCCACCTTTGTTCGCTCCTAGCCCAGTTCATTATCATAACAATAACCAAAAATAAAATGTATGCAAGCCCAAAACCCAATAAACGACAACCCTGCCAAAACCCTAAAAACACCTTATGATCTCTTCCTCCTCTTCCACGCCCATTTCTCACAAACCCCACCGCCATTAGAGCAGCAGCAGAAAATTCTCAAGAAAAAAGAGAGAAAAGGGATGGTTTCCGGGTCAGGGATCTGCGCCAAGCGGGTGGTGGTGGATGCTAGGCACCACATGTTGGGGCGGCTGGCCTCCATTTTGGCTAAGGAATTGCTGAATGGCCAGAAAGTTGTGGTGGTTAGATGCGAGGAAATTTGCCTTTCCGGTGGCTTAGTTCGTCAGAAAATGAAATACCATAGGTTTCTCCGTAAGAGGATGAACACCAAGCCTTCTCATGGTCCCATTCACTTCCGAGCTCCTTCTAAAATCCTCTGGCGCACCATTCGTGGGTGAGTTACTTGTTATTTGGTATGACGTTCAAGTGATCGACTTTATGTCTTTTTGAATTGCTGGCTTGGCTTTGGTTGTTTTTCACTTTCATTTGGCATATTGGAATTTGGGTTTTTATTTTGGGTACAATTTTCTGTATTCGTGTTGAGGAAAGATTGAACATTTATCTTCAGTTTGAGTTCTGTACTTGGATTTATGTTTCTGAATTTGGATTGATTGGAGAAATGTCTTTTGGAAATTTGATTACAAGGCTAATTTTGGGGATTAGTGAAATAAAGATTCCTATCTTCTTTGTTACTCTGTATGACGAGAATTACGAGTGTTCACAAATTCTTTATTAATCTGCATAAAGAGTTTTGTCAGTATGAGTTTGTGTAGGTGATGATGGGTTATGTATTTGAATGCACTTTTGGAAACATGTCCAAATGATTTGAAGCCATCAGAGACAGTCTTGTGTCTTCATTTCAGCTGTCCATCTGCTGGTGCCACCCTTTTTTATGGGAGTTTGCAGACATTAAACGGGTGCATTTATAGTTTTATTTTGGAACAAAGTTCGTTGTAATTTGATAAACAATTACTTATATTCAGTTTCATGAGCCCTCAGTGGAGTAATAGAAGATGCGGCACACCTGACTTACAATGACTTATCTTATAAACAAAACAAATTTAGGTAAAATTGCCTATTGTGATGCGAATGCATGGTTATATAAATTTCAGTTGCATGTAGGTGGCGAGATTGGTACCCAAATTGGTTGACTAACGAAGTCTCTATGTTATAGTAGTAAGATTTAACTTGCCTGGAACAGAAAGGACTGATATTGAATGTTGAAGCTTGGAATTTAAGTTATAACTTCCACATGCCCCTCCCATATCTTGTACAATTACAATCCCTTTTTATTGGTAAGTTAATTAGGAATTTTTTTTTCTTGTTAGCCTTTTTGGTTTGTGTTTCATGTTCTTTTGAGCAAGTGATGGTTCCCCATTGATAGAATTCTACTTTGTCATAAGGTTCGGGTTTTCCTTGCCTTCTCTTGTTCTTATTGTTCCCTCTTTTTTGTCTGCTATTGGGAACAGTTTAGGTCCTGTAACACTGCTTTCTTAACCAATCTGAGAGCCTTAATTCGGTTTATTGATGTCGCTAGTTATGGTTATTGAAACTGATTGTTGCTGTTATTGTCATTTACTGTAGCATGATTCCCCACAAGACAAAGCGAGGAGCAGCTGCACTCGCTCGTTTGAAGGTTTATGAGGGGATCCCACCACCATATGACAAGATAAAGAGGATGGTCATCCCTGATGCTCTCAAGTAAGCGCACTAATTAATTTTCAAGACATGGCCAAGTACTTTTAGAATTTGTCTTAGCATCTGTAAAGTTTGTTTCTTGTTTGATGGCTAGGGTTCTGAGGCTACAAGCTGGACACAAATACTGTTTGTTGGGCAAGCTGTCGTCCGAGGTTGGATGGAACCACTATGATACTATCAGGGTGAGTTTTTATTCTTTGTTCAAATGTTTCTGCTTTCCCTGTTTGTTGTTTGATTTCCACTTTCTAGTTGCCTAGAAGCTACATTCCATTTGCTGTTCGTTAACTGGGGGCAATGGATTTGAGGAAAATGTTCCTTTTGAAAGTCTTGTTGATAACTTTGTTGTTTTCAATTTGCATTCTCTGTGGA